TTAGATTTTTGAATTATGTAAATTCTTAATAATTTGCCACAAACAATTAACTTTACTTCCTAAAATGTGCCAAAATTCACAATGAGAGAGAAAAGGAGGACACATATCATTCTTTCTTTCTTTTTTTATTCCTTTTTTATTTGGCAGGCCCCTCTTATCGGTTAGAGCGGCTCTAAAAGTTTTCTCTGAGATTACCTGAGAATGCAAAAGTCATATCTTATCTTTCCTATTATTCTAGAGTCAAAGCAAACTATCGTGTATGTCTCAAACCTGAAAAAGCCAACTATGAAATCATTTTACCTTGCATGCAGCTCAAGAACTTGAAAATAAATTCCATCAGTGAAAAGGGAAATGATTAGACACATGAATAAACATTTGTCTAATTATAACTCTATGACCACTGTTCTCTGTAGGTGGCTGAAAGTACCATCTAAAAGTACATTTCAGTATCCTGTATTTGGTGCCATGGCTGAAAATCTGGAAATTTCCCTGATCCCAGCCCTGCTGATGCTGCCTCTCCTGCTGAAGGTTGCAGCGTTGCACTACCTGCTGGGTATAACCGTCCTGACAGCTCTGCCTGGCCTGGTGCTGTGGTACTACTATGCAACGCACCGAAAGAAGAGACGCACCCTCTTCTTCCTCACCCTCGCATTGTACTCTCTGGCCTACATGTATTACCTCTTCATCACAGAGATTTTACCGCGTGGGGACGTCAGCCAGCTGCAGGTGTGCACCGTGACCTCTGGGATGATCTTCACTATAGTCTCTCTTATTCACACCAAGAAAGGCCCAGGATTTGTGACTGCTGCCCTTCACAACTCTCACAGTCAGGAGGATAAAAAGGAGTCCACACAAGTAAATAATGGATCTCTCCAATCAGCAGCCTCTCCCTCAGGGACACCAGCAGAGCTGCAAACCCCAAAGGAGGGCCTCGGAGCAAAGTGGAGCAGGTGTCCTTTGTGCAAAATAATGCGACCACCGCGGGCTGGTCATTGTCGAACCTGTGGCTCATGTGTCCAGCGTTTGGACCACCATTGTATCTGGTGGGTCTGACTTCACGTCATGTTTATATATTTCCTTTGTAAGCAAAGCATTGTGTGTTTAATATTCAGTTCAGTTTAGGTTTATTCAGTTGCCTCAAGGTGTTTTATACTGTAAGGTAGAGATTCTCTCGAAAAACCCTCATAATCAAATGGTCCCTGCTGAGTAAGCACTATGCAATGGTGGGAAAGAAAAACTCCCGTCTAAGAGAAGGAAACCCCTGGCAAATCGGGCCCGGGGGCACAGACATATGTCATGACTGGCTGTGGGGGTATTGGAAAACAAGAGAAAAGGGAAAAAAAGAGGGTACATGGAGCCCGGAAAAGCCAAAGACTAAGAGAAAGATAAAGCAAAAATGACTTTTTCATCCCTGTCGGTACTGTCACTGCACTGTTTTTTTTGAATAATGGAGGCAGGTAAGGAATTTATAGAATAACATGATAATAATTAACCTGTTAGCAGTCGGACGTACCGCCCACGGTACATTGGATGGTTTAGGGGACTAATTGTAAATTTGTAGGACTGCTAAGGGGTTAATTACAATAGCCCAGCCAAGAAGTAATGAATGTATGAACTAGTTTTGTGGCATCATTCTGAGACTGTATGGTTCTAATTGTATATATTAATGTGCACATGAAAAAAAGTGTCACTATATATTTGTTTCATATGCGCATTGAAGGACACATCCTGGTCAAAAACAACTTCCAGGCTTCTCATAGTGTTGCTGAAGGCCCTGATAATGCCATCCAGAGTAAGTGTCTGGTTAACATCATGTTTCTAAGATTTATTAGGGCCGAGTGCATAGCCTCAGTTTTATCTGAATTTAGTTTTAGAAAATTACAGGACATCCACGTCTTTATGTCTTAAACTATTAGTTTCATTTTTAGGCTGTCTGGCAGCATAATTGGTGGTCATGGTGGCCATTCTGCTGAAATAAACAACGAAATTAAAATGAGCTGTTGAATTTGTGGGTCCACACCTCTTGTGTTGTAATTAGATTAGGGGAACGAACCTGAGCAGAAGCTTGGACCAGGGGGACGTCACATTCACAGCTGATCAGCAGATGAGAACTGAACTCTCTTTTACATTTCCCCATACTAGAAAAAAATAGTTTAATTTTACTGTTAGATCATAATTTAGTAAGCACATGATGGGCCTCATCAGGCCATAAACACATCACATGTCATCAAGTTTTCCATAATCAGTTCCTTTTGACAGATTTTGATAAACGTACTCCAAAACTCATGCAGATGGATTTAGATTTTCCTATTAATATTATTATTTTGGGGACATCTACAAATTAGATTTTTTTTCTGCCACACTGAAAGTCCTCTTGCAGAGTGCTCTGCCAAGAGGAAAAACGAATGGGCACTCCAAAATGCTCACGCTCACTCACACACATCCACAGAAATCCAGACGGCAGGGAAGACCGGCAGGGAATCTAGAAGGCCTGTACACAGAGAAAAATAACGTTAGGAGGAAACTCTAGGTGATCACAAGGAATACTTTCAAAGGCTAGGCTACACTGACACTAGGTAATGTGACGATCCAGCGAGGAAGCAGCCTCTCTTGCCATCTTAAGTAGTCTGCCAGGATCAGTGTGAATGAGCCACAGGTGTGTGTTCAGGGCGGGTTCAGAGGCGGGGAATCAAGGTCCAGTTCCGCCCTGGTGGGAGAGGCGAAGACAAAAAACACACACACCACGACCTCTGCAGATCTTGAGAACCATGACACTTCTAAACTAAATAAAATCTGTAAATGTAGCAGTTCTGTCATTTTATATACAGCATGATAGTGAGATACACATGTAACCTGGTCTCTCTGGTGTTGTGTGTCCCTGTTGAGATGTTGTAGGATAAACAGCTGTGTAGGACAGGCAAACCATCGCAGTTTCCTGCTGACCCTCTCTGTGTTTGTGTTGACCTCTCTGTACGGGATCAGTTTGGTGCTTTGCAGCCTCTGTCCTCATCAGTATCTAATGACAGCGCTCTTCTACTGCCCCGGCGTCTACACTCAGTCTAGGTACAGCACTCTATTTTTTTTTTTCTGCTGCAGCCTTGAAATTGAATCACTTTAATCATTAAATAATTATTTCAATTCGTCAATGACAATTTTAATTACTGTTTTTGGTGTGTTTTTCTTGAATTTGTCCTGCCAGTATGAGAAGAAAAGGTGTGTTATGTTGCAGTAATGATTTGTTCTCTTTACTTTTACAGCACAGCACTTTGCTTTACCTGTGCGTGGTACAGCAGCATTGTCGCAGGTGGGCTGCTTTACCTCTTGGTGGCACAAGTTCTCAATATCAGCTTTAACGTGACGGAGCGAGAGGCTCAGCTGGCTCTGAGGAACAAAACGGGCCAGAGCCGCCTGTGGGGACTCGTTGTTGACACAGGAGAGTATTCTCGTGGCTTCTATCAGAACTGGGTTGAGTTCCTCACCATGACAGATGCTTCAGCTTCTCCTCGGTCCAGCCTTACTGACTTGGTCTAGTTGTACTTAATGCACTCGGTGACATCGTGGTAATACACTGTTCGTGCTGCATGCATGAAGAATTCGATTTCATTTTTTTTTCCAATACATTCCAGGACTGCGGTACTAATAGGAACATGTTTTTAATGACTGTTTAAAGATGCATAGATGTGTTTGGGGTTTGGATTTTTAGCATCATTTTCTGTTGAAGCTTTTGACCTGGACACATGCAAGACAGTCTGTGGATTTTGTGCCTTTTATAAAATTTAATCGAAGACTGCAGACATTATAGCCTGCCTTTTTATACACGTGCAGAAAGTAAGAAGGAAATATGTTGTCTTTATAAAAAAAATAATAATCTCACTGCATGCAAGTCAAAAAAATCTAATAAACTTCAAAATGAAAAAAACATTAAATGATTCTGGAGTTCAAATCAAAGAAGATAAACCAGAAACAAAACTGCCGGATTCAAGACTAGATAGCTGCCCTTTACTAATTTAATATCCAGTAGCAATGTGGTTTGGCCCTAAGATGGCATCAGAGGGAAAGCCAAAGAAAAACAAATGGTCACTTTTGACCCGTTCTGCAGACATGCACTCAGTAAATACTGACACCACTGTACTGGTCAAGTTGGAAATTTAAGAAGAAACAAAGATATATTAAAACAATTAATAAGAAGGCAAGAAAAACGAGTTATAGAAGGATCTGCATCTGTGAGAAGAGGCCTAACTAATACAGAACAAAGAGGCTAGCTTAGCTCAGTGTAAGATGTTAAAATAATGTCTAAAATATGTTGCATGTGATGGTTAGAGCAAGAACAAAGTTCATCACCTTGGACACAATAAAATGTGCGTTTTGTGCCTTTCTTCTCTGCAGTGTGCTGCATTATTGTGTGTGTTTTTTAACGAATGTTTTTTGGTCATAACTGTCTCACGGTGCCTTCAACACTGATCTACAAATCTAAACACACATGCCAATCCTTTCTCTAATTATTCTGTTATAGATAATAATTTATGTAAACAGTTAAATCACTGTTCTCAGTCATATAGTGTGAATTGAAAATGAAACCCTATCTATTCTACTGTAATTTCTAGTCTCAATTTTCATTTCACACTGTTCACTAATTAGCATTATTTCTCATAATCCACGTTTTGGGTGGAGCACATCAATAAATATTCTTATACCGATACATTTCTTCCATTTGAAGGCATGTTTCATTCCTGTAACTTCAGTGCCAGCACTTTTAGCTTTTCCTCTGCTGCCACCCTCAGGCCACTCTGTGCTTAACATTAACAAAAACACCCAATAACATTAATATTAAGTCTGTTGCTCAGTCAGTTTGTGATGTGTATCGATGTCTTGATTCTAGGTTTAAGCAACCAGTCTCAGCAAGGGGTTAAAGTAAGTTTAAAAATACAGTTTCCTTAAAACAAATAGAAATCAAAGAGGGGGGGGAATCTAATCACAAAGAAAAATATCTGTGTCCCTTCACAAAAGAGATGAGTTGGTGGGCTGGGGACAGTTGTGGTTGCTTCCTTAATGGCAGTCCTCCCACAGCTACCACTATGGGTTGAGTTGGTATCACACTTCATCCTCCGTCAGCACTGCCTTGAGATTTGGGCCACAGGAAACATGTCTGCACCCAGAAACACAGAGGAATGAAATGTGTTTGCTCCTTTCAGTCGGTTCACAGCATGTTTAAGACATTTGAGGGAAGTCATTATATCACTGGAAGACTTACCAATATTAAACCTATTCAGCCTTAAATGAGGGAACAAAAACACATAAAAGAAGATTGTGTTGGTGTGTCCATCACTAGTGCCAAGTGCACATAAAGAGATGAAAAAGGGGGATAAACAACATAATTTATGCATCATTTATAGCACTGTACAAAGTGTTAAAGGGAGGCGGAGCAGATGTCGATCAGTTGTCCATCAAAGTCTGGCATTTTAAAAATAGGATAATTTAAAATACAATTTTAAAAAATGTCAGCAAACAAACACAAACTAATGCTTACTCAAGACAACTAAATTAGGACAACTTCTTCATTGTGAGCATTTCCCAGGGAGAGAAAACAATGTGAGACACCTTCACTCAAAGTAGGCAACATCACCCACTGCCTACAATGCAGGCAACAGCAAATGGAGCTTTTGTATAGCACAGGAGTTACATTAACACCTCCTGCATCTTCCATGTGAAGTATGGGAAACTGCTGCAGCCTTCTCACAACCAAAGCATTCACAAAGTGATTTGTAATCCTTTGTAATCTTTGGGAATGATTTCATCCGGCAGCCAGCACGCTAACTTGCTGGGCTAGTGTTTCCCTAGCAGTCAGAGGTTACCAGGGGGGTCACTGACTGGCATCTGGCCTAAATGCAACAGTAATTAGGTCACGAGAAGGTAACCCTTATGTTTTAACCAAATTACCAGAAGGCCACAATCTGTGGGTAGTGATCAGACAAGCAAGTTCACTCTGGACCCAGATAGATGGTGGATGGATGGTGTGACACTTTCATTCTTGTCACATAAAAGGTTGTTAGAAGAACCATTGATTACCTTTTGTAGTGAACAAGAACAGATCAAACTTTGAGATTCTTCATCACTCAACAGCAGTGGAAAAAAGATTCCCCAAACGTATTTACTTATTATTGTTAGCTTATCCAGGGAATCATTTCAGGTTACTACACAGGGAAGTGTGATTAGGAATCCAGTTTGCGAGCCATGTGTTTTGTCTGTGCGCGTTACTGTCACATCTGCTGACAGCTACATTTGATTCTGTGGTCTCAGTCGCAGAAAGCGCTGGAGTTTAGCCTTGTTTACCACTGTGGATTCAGTGTACTTTGTTTCAAAACAGATTTTTTTTTGTCTCCACTCAAGCTGAAATTTAATTACTACTTTATTTGCTTTCCAATTCTCTGACATCCCAGCTGATTTGTTATTCAAATTTTGGATTTGTTTTTGTGTGTTTCTCCTGCCAGCTGTTTGCTATATACCTCTCATATGGTTCACTGAATTCTGCCTTTGCGTGGCTAAACTTTTTGGTTGTGAAACCATGCATGCAGGTTCATGTGGTGAACCCATCCCCGAACCCGGGTTTTGTCTGGGTGTGTGTGCGCTGGCCCTGAGGGAAGAGGTAATCTCCCTCGGCTATATAAAGGGAGTCAGGCAGAACCTCAACAGCACACTTCCAGATCTTCATCCACACTCTCCCACATCATCATTTCTTCACTCATCATCAGCAGCCATGCATTTACTTCTCACTCTGCTGGGAGCTGTGCTCTCCTCTCTGATGGTTTCTTCTGAAGTCCAACCTCAGGCAGACTTCAATGTACAGGCGGTAAGACAAATGGCTACATTAGTATGTTTTAGTTTACAATATTTATTTCTATAATCATTGTATTTATTTAATTCTCTATATCGTTTGTAAGTCCAGCAGCAATGCATGTTCAACTTGCTTATATGGTTTTGGCTTTTCACTTTTTGACTTTTGTGTTCATAAAGAAAAGCAATGTAGCTATCTTCAAAAACAAAGAAAAAGAAGAAGGCGCACATGAAGTGTTTTTTCCCCTCTGTCTTCCAAAGCTTACGCGAGTTATTAAAAATCACTTTTTTGTAAAGGTGATCACAGAAAGTGTTTCAAAAACGCTTCAGTAAAGTTTTCAACTCCCGATGCTTTCCTCTTGTGTGCCCACAGATGGCAGGTAAGTGGTACCTGATTGGAATTGCCACTGATGCCCAGTGGTTTGTCAGTCACAGAGCCAGCATGAAGATGGGCACGACCATGATTACCCCAACTGCTGACGGGGATCTGGAGATGTCATATTCCAGTCTTAGGTAAGTGTGAGGGCATGAGGACAATGGACATTTAAATAAATAGGAATGTATATCTATATATCTGTATATAAATATATATGAAAGACAACATGTGAAAGAATTAATGTTTTAGTGATCTCTTTGCAGCCCTAATGGCTCGTGTTGGAGAATGAACAATCTGGCCAAAAAAACTGAGATACCGGGAAAGTTCACATACACAAGTCGGCGTGAGTGCACCCACACACAGAAGCACGATTTAACGATCTAGTACATTTGCCTTTTCTGCTTTGATAATTTCATGACCCCTTTTCTGCTGCATTCCCTTTGTCAGGCTGGGGGTATCTCAGTGACTTGCGCATGGTCGACGTGAAGTATGACGAGTATGCCCTGATTCATTCCATCAAAACAAAGGGGAAAGAAAGCTATGTTGTTAACAAACTATATGGTAATATGGCATTTATCTCTGATTCTACACTCTGCTCAATCCATTTTAAGCTGTTCTGCTGGTCGGTAAAGCTATACCTGCTGCAGCAGATTTACATCATCTGTTTTCACAGGGCGTGGTGTGGACCTCAGCGCTGAGGTGCAAGAGAAGTTCATTCAGTTCTCCCTGCAAAGCAGCATCCAGCCTGAAAATATTGTCATCCTTCCCAAAAACGGTACTTTTACCTCTGAGATGTTTTATTTAAAATAACTGCAATCAAGAGTGATGTTATGCACTGATCACTTTTCCATTTTCTTTCCCTTTTCCTCTCTATAGAGCAGTGCCCAGCTGCCTAACCTTGTGTCCAGGTGATCATCTCACCGAGGAGCTTTCACTGTTCTGAAAATCTCACGTCGATGACCTGAGACAGTTTGCTTTTTACTTTACTATCTCTGCTCTTTCGTTATTAAGAGGGCTCATAATATCACAAAATTATATTCATCACTTTGCATTTATCCACCTGCTGTTATAACCACAGAATTAAAAAGTATGAAATGGCTAAAATCTTTTGATTTACTCAATTTTTAAACTAATACTTTGAATTACATCCATAACAGCACAGCTAAAACCTTCTTTTTATCAAGTCTTTGTATCTACACACTTTGCAAAGATTTAGATACAAAAAATAATAGAAGAACCTGTGAATTAAAAAAATATAAAATATACATAATCACAGAAGATGACCAAAACAATGCACCAGTGTTCTGAATTTGTACCTACAAACATGCAAGTTTCCCTTTCTACAGGCAAAAGTACGTAAGTAAGTCAAGAAAACAAGGAGTTCAGCCCTTAATTTTAAAACAGCAGCAGCAGATATACTGTTCATCTTTCATTTAGACGAGACAAAGCAACAGGGGTGACAGACTTTGACCATTTTGTCACAGCACACAGAGTTTATTTGAATCCAAACAAAACACCCACCAAGTCCGAAGTAGATCAGGTGAACTGTCGACCAGACAGACTGACAGACAAACATACAGATTGCTTGAGCCATTAGTGCGACAAAACTTCATATATTTGTTTTCCAGGATTAAAGATCTATTATAACTGGCACGGAATGCAGGCAGGAGAAATCATTAACAGCAAAACACGTTACTAGTACATCTCCTCAGCACTAGTGGTATCATGGTCTCAAAGCTGTGCAGTAGATAAAAGAATCTGAGGGATGATACAAAGGTGACCAAAGTTACAAACAAATCCAGCTGTACTGGAAATGTTTTCAGAGGTCCAAACTCTTTGGCTTTCTGCAGAGCAAGAATGTAAGAAGTATCCAAGCTAACTTAACTTTAGACAACATGAGGAAAAATGCCTCTTCCCAAAGTTTCCTACAAGTATTTGGTTTATATTTAGAGAAGCAAAGGCTCTTCATCCTGACAGATGTTCCCTGGTGGATCTCTGTCCTGTGACAGTGGCACAGTATAGTGTATTATAATCAAAGCCACTTCCCTAACCAATTTTTAAAGCTATTTAGCAGATGGACAAAGTGGATGTAGACTCTGTCTGCTGTGTACAAAAGGTTATATGATTAACCACATAGCAGATACTGCACAACAATAGTAGCAGCAGTTCACACAAAGTAACACAGTGCTCAGTGTACTGTAATATTAAAACAGTTGACAGTCTCGACCTTAAGATTTCTATTTGCTGTAGACTAAGCCGGGACAATTAACTTGCCAAAGGACCACTGATTAAAGTTTACTCTTAATAACAGTAGCAGTTTATATGAATATATTGTTTATGGGTGTTTTGCCTACTGGTGCAGCAACAGTCCAGTGCTCCTTAGAAAAATGAACTACTCGTGCCTAAGCTAACAATTTCAGTCACACCGATGTCTTTTATTTACAGAGTTAGCTTAGCGACTTAGCTTAGCAAGACTTTATTTGAAAGTTCAGGATTTTTTGTTCACACTGGCAGCACATTCGGCCAGTGAGGTTCAGTTTGGTTCAACGCCCTTTTTGACCCATGAAACAGCAGAAAATGAAACATTCTCATTTCAACACCCATTTGTTAGCGTTAGCTATTCTGCTGTTTTTCATCATGTCACAGGTGAAATGAAATGATAGTACATTTACTTTGCTTCCTGTAGGAGTGATCGTGTCATGTGAGACCGTGTATTACTTATGAGGAAAGCCAACTTTGGGATTCCTAATCAGTCAGCTTTGGAAAAAAAAATGTTTGAACTGTGTGTGAACAAAGCTCTTCTTTTTACTCTGGGGATGGTACACACTGCACAGTAGTTTTTAGAGAAATGAGGTTAAAATGAGACATTAAAGCCTTAAAAGACAAACCACATTTTCGAAGAAAGCATCTCAGGTTAATATCTCTGTCAGGGCGTGTGTTTTGTCTCTGCAACTGTTGCAAATGCTGATAGGTGCATTTGATTTTGTGATCTCTGCCACAGAAAGTACTGGAAGGCAACTACTACGTTGTTAAAAGTAGAAACGTAGTTTATAAATGAATCATGTAACTATAACTTTACTACTTTGCAGCTCCTTAGTTTGTGATTTCTATGATATGAACTTAGATGTCCTGTTATTTGAGTTTTTTTGTTTAGTTTGTGTGTTTTTTACTGTTTTTCTTGGTAACTGTCTGACATTCACCTCTCACACAGTGGATACAATTCTGCCCCTGCAGGAATAAACTTTGTGGTTATGAAACTGACCAGGTGTTTGCATAAAATGTCACATGTTCAAAGCCGTCACAGAACCTGGGGTTTGTATAAGTGCAGCTGTTGGTGGGGAGATAATCTCACTCTTCTATATAAAGAGTCACCGGACAGCAACTTCCAGATCTTCATTTGCGATCTCCTCCATCATCATTTCTCCACTTATCAGCAGCTATGGCTTCACTTCACACCCTTCTGGGAGTGGTACTGTGCTCCCTCATGGTTTCTTCCTCTGAAATCCTACCTCAGGCAGACTTTGATTTACAGGCGGTAAGAATCATTGATAATCATTTTTATTTTACCACCCATCTATTTTCATAACCATGTGTCTATCTTAGGGCCATGGAAAGGGGGTACTGGAGGTTATCTAACAGGGATAAGCAGGGACCCCCCCCCCCAAGACAGTTTAGCAGTCTACACGGGAGGCTAACCTTTGCATAATTTACTTTTATAATGACTTCACCATTTATGTTATGTGGTTATGTTTCACGCTGGATTTTGTGTGATAATACATATTCTGTGTTACAATAAACAGCTCTTGTGCTTCTGTCTAATTCTCAATGCTTTCCATTTGTGTGTCCACAGATGGCAGGTAAGTGGTACCGGACTGGAATTTGCTCTAATGGCCAGTGGTTTGTCAGTCGCAAAGCCAATATGAAGACCGGCACGGCCATCATTACGCCAACTGAAGATGGAGGTCTTGAGTTGTCGTTCTTCAGTCTTATGTGAGTGCGAGAGGACAGACAGAGCAAATATCATTTGAATAGCATTAAAATATTTACACTGGAGATTAATGCGATGTCTTTGCGACAGTAATGATACATGTCAGAAAATGGAGAATTTAGCCAACAAGACCGAGGTGCCTGGAAAATTCACATACAAGAGTCGGCGTGAGTACGCCCACAAAGAGAGGAAACGAATAATTTTCCATCATCATCATCCAGTATTATTTTTTCACATATTCTCTTCTGCTTTTTTCCTTTTTGTCAGACTGGGGGTATGTGAGTGACATGCTTATGGTTGATGTGAAGTATGATGAGTACGCCCTGACCTATTCCTTCAACACCAGAGGGAATGAAACCTTTGTCATTAACAGACTATTTGGTAAAGTTGCATTTAGCTGTGTTCAGTAAACCGTTTAGCAAAGTTACACCCACTGCAGCAGATTTACATCACGTGGTTTCACAGGACGTAGTTTGGACCTCAGCGATGAGGTGCAGGAGAAGTTCAGGCAGTTCTGCTTGCAGACCGGCATCCTTCCTGAATTTACTGTCCTTCTTCCTAAAAGCGGTACTTTTACATTGGTGGTGAAGTTCTATATAAAAACAGCTTGGAATACAGTGATGTTGTGCACTGATCACCTTACACTTTCCATTTTTCCTTCTACAGTGGAGTGTCCACTTGCCTAACCTTCTGTCCCACCGATCGTCTCACCAGTACTGCATGAAGATCTTACACCATCTGTTATGGAAATGTGCCTGAGCACCATCTTGAGATGTTTTTAACAATAAAAATGCAAACATCGAGAATATTTTTCTTCATTATTCATCCTTTGTATGAAATAAACTGAAGAACACCCATAACAACACAACCAAAATGTATTTTTCCCCCCATTCACACACTTTATAGTATTCAAGCAATCCATCAATCAGTTTATTTATAAGCACATTTAAAAACAACAGAGGTTGACCAAAGTGCTATACAAAGCAAAAAGTAAAACAAACACATCTAAAGAGAACAAAACAAAAACTCAGTCACAATTAAAAGCTAGGGAGTAGAAATGTGCTTTCAGACGGGATTTAAAGTGGTGGAGACGTCCTAATTTGAAGAGGCAGACTGCTCCAAAGGGTCAGGCAAACGCTTGGTCCCCTCTGTGCTTTAGTTTGCTTTTAGGAACAATCAGAAGCAATGTAACAGCTGACTGAAAAGTTCTATTTGCAGTGTTTTTAGTTAAAAGATCAGAGAGCTACGAGGGAGCTAATCCACTTACAAACAAGCAATAAAATCTTAAAATCAATTCTAGAACATACTGGAAACCAGTGTAAACGAGCCAAGACTGGGGAAATATGGTCACGTTTATGAGTGCCTGTCAAGAGCCGGGCTGCAGCATTCTGAACAAGCTGAAGACGAGAGAGCAGAGAGTGGTCACATTATAAGTTAAATGCATATCGTTAGCTTCATAGCATAAGTGCCTAAGTCATTTTTTTGTGATGACATAGGCAGACGGACAGGATGATGCAGCAGTGGTAGGGGAGTAAAGTTAGGCAAAAATCTCAATTTGACCAAAAAATGACTTAGGCACTTATGCTATGAAGCTAACGATATTCAAGCTTTTATTTACATCCGTTTACAATTCACTGAGTTTTATTTTATGTGATTAAATGATCTTAGATCATCCACCTGTAGATGAAGGTCAGAATGACTCCTTGTTTTATCTGCCCATATTGTGGTTTTAGTCAACACACTAAAGGAAATATGCTACAGAGTGGTGAGGTCAGAGTACCTCATAGCACACCAGTTGCTTATACA